TGAAAGGTAATCTTTCTCTAAAACTATATACCTATTGAGGACTGTAGGTTGGCAATGAGGACACAAGTGAATCAGAACAGATTCAGTGACTTCCATAAAAGTTGATGGTGGGACACAGTGACATCACCTGTGAGCAAAAGCAGGTGTCTCATGGGAAAGCTCCTTTTCAGAGCTGGCAAAAGACAGAGTTGGGACCTCCACTAAAACACAAAAAGTTTGTGTTCAGATTTGCAGTAGGCTTTCAAATTGATTCATCTGAGCAAATATAAATTACATTGCTATTTAACAAGGATTCTATATTTTGATACAAAGCATTGCTTTGTATTGGTGTATTTTTTCTGCTCCTGGAAAAGGTTAAATATCATTGCAATGCACTCTAGAAAGAGAGTTGTAGCCCTGCTTTACTAAAGAGTCACCCTGATCGCTTAAGTCCCTGCTCACTGCTTCTAGAAGCAGTGACTGGAGTGCTTCTGGAGTTGTGACTATTTTACAAGTAAGACCGAATAATTTTGGAAATATAATTTGCAAGTGACATTTGCAGGGGAATATTGTGCAGTGATATCTGGGCGGGGATATTGTGTTCAGACTTTTCCTGCTTGCCTGCCTGCCCTCCTGGAACAAACAGCACTGCTTCATTTTCCTGCTGTATTTTACAAAGTTAAAGTAAACACTGTGATCACACTGTTTACTTTAATTTCCTGCAGTGTGCCAGCAAAGCAGCAAATTGGCAGTCAGCAATCAAGATGCAGCCAGTATTGAAAAAAGCAGAGCTGCTTGGGAAAGCAGCAGTGATGCCAGCCCATTTTTCTCTCTGTTTTAAAAATAAAATATTGGCTTCCATGAAGTTCTACTTCCGCTCCATCTTCTCTAAAGGATCGGAAATTTTGTTTGTTTCTTTTTTTTTTTTCTTTGTTTTTTGAAAGAAAGCTGAGAATACGAGCAACACCTAATCTCTATGTCTGACTGTTCTTTTCAGTTTGCAAACCAATTTCACATATTGAAGCAAAAGGTCACCCTTTTTATATAAAGAAATGGATTTACAAAAGTGGCAAAAACATGCTTTTTTGTCTGTACAAAATCCATACCATGCTTGCATAAGAGGAAGTTAACTTGTCAATAAATCTGTCTTATCTGGTTATATTTTTATCTTCATGCCAAGAACTTTAGCTGTGCAATTTCAATTAGGAGTACAATAATGTGAAGCTAAAGCCTCATGTATTACATTCAGAATATGCATCAGCCTCAAAATAGAGTCCTAAAAAGAAAACAGTTAAAGTTTCAGAGGCCAGTCTCACTTATCTCATATTACATAAAACACAAAATATAAGTACAAAACAAGAAGTAAGAAGAACATGATATTATTTTGTACCTCTGAGGTGTAAAGCTTGACAAGGTGACTCATTTATGGCCTCCTGGAGGATATTATGCAGAAGGAATTTATTACTATGTAAGTTACAATTCCAGTATATAGAGGGGGGCAGAGCCTGCAGTCAGTAATTCTCCTGACCATGTGCATTCCTGCACATGCTCTTGCTGAAGACAATGAGATTATGAAGAGGATTAGCTTTTTGTTAGACTGGCCAAAGTATGCCTTTGGAAAGTCCAAAACATGACCTAATTTAAAGTGGTTGAAATCTTGTGGGAAAGACTGTAAGTGGATAATTATTTTAAAAGCCATGACTTTGACACCAGGAAATTAAATTCATATCTATATGTCTTTATCTATACACAGCAAATCCAATAATCTCGAGCTCTCTGCAGTCACTTTGCCAGCTGGCAAAGGGAGCAAAGTAAAAACTAACAAAGCCCATTCCTAAGCTATGCTGACATCAGTGGTTCATGATTCATCAATAGTGGTGCTAGGAAATAAATGTAACAGGACATATTGCCTTCTGCAGCACAATAAACTCTAAGGAAAATGTCTAAGTGTATCACATTGAAAAGACACAACTAGCAGAGAAATAACTTTTACAAGTATTTAAAAGTTGTTACAAGTAAGTGAAAGTAGAGACAAGAGTTTAAAAGAGTAAATCTTTTAAATAAATTGAGAATATCCCTTTAAATAAGAACGGACCATTTTTGAGCTATCTAAACTAACATTTTTTGATACTCGGTATGTTTACATGGAGAATATCATGCTTGCAAAAAACATTTGAGTTTCTTGTTCTAGAAAGAACAACAAATCAAAATTCAAAGTAATCATAACCATGGTTTAACTGGATATCAGAAAAAGCACGATGAAGAGTAAGTTCTACTCTATGCAAAATTATTAATGTCAGTGACAGCAATTATGACTCCTACAACCTATCTAAATAATAAAAAGGACAAACGTACACACAATGTACTATTTAGAAAATGCCTCTATTAGCACATAATTGATGATCTCTTTTGAAGGTGACTGGACTATCATCGTAAAAGCCTAAGATTATTAACTGAAGAAAAATGGGTAGCTCTCTCCAGAATAGTAGATATACCTGCCACAGTCCCTATACAGAAAGGCAAGATCTAATACATCATTAAGCAACTGAAGCTTTACTTTACACTTTTTTTTAGCTTCAAACTACTTATGATAGGGTTTAGACTATATTTCTAATCCTTTTTAGAGCCTACGCAATTAAAATTCATGCTACTTGTTTATGCTATTAGAGGACAACTACACAATATTAATAATGCACTGTCTAACGTGCTGCCCTAGAGAAATGTAGGCTCTCTTTCAGGGACAGCAGYCACAGAGTTCTAACACAAGCTTCGCTACTTAGCTGGAGGGTAAATGACTTTGGTGGTCGTTGAGGTACTTCACCAGAAAAAAATGTTGGTGTCCTGACCTGAGGCTTGCTTAAAACCATTTCTGCTTAAGTGCAAAGCATTGCAAATAGAGCTAGAAGCTGCTTTGCCTCAACTGACATAGGAAATTATCTTTTAAAGACTCAGTTTCCCAACACTCAGAATAATTCTTAACAAACAATTAATTGCTTCTCAGGCTTTGCAAATGATTGTCATGTCTACTTTACTGCATCAATTTTTCTTTAAATAACAGATAAATGTCTTTATAAATTTGAAGGTAGAATTCCCTAAGAAAAAATGAAAGACAAAAAAGTAAAAAAGAAAAAAAAGTAGAATATGGCGGGTGAGTTAAATCCATCCTCATGGAATAAGGTCAGTAGAAGGAAGCACAAYTATCTTCACTGTAAATTTACCTGATATTTCATAACCACAGTTTTCTAGAAAAGTACTGACAAAGAATTTTTAGTGGATTCCTGATTATGGGAAATAGCTAAATGTTGGTTTAACTTGCTGCAGGTTGCAGTAGAAATTGACTGGGTTTTCCTCCTTGCGTTATTCAGAAGTGTAGGTTCTTGATTCTGCAAATATCTGCTTAGAAGTCAACCAGCTTACTCATAGTAATAAAATTGAATTCGTGAAAATGTTASTGTAGTAAAGGCCATTTCTTCTTCTTATAGTTCAGTTCTTCTTCTTCAGTTCAATAATGACTGGTCTATATTCGTGACAACATTACCATTATATTCAAGAAATAGTTTTAGTGATTATATTACACATACCATGAAGAGGCTCAGGGAACTGGGTTTGTTCAGGCTTAAGAAGAGGAAGCAAAGCTTCCTTAGGGAGGATGAGGCAGAGTGGAAAGTGCAAAAGAAAGGTAAAAGTTGCATGAGAAATTCATGTAGATATTATAAAAAAGTTTTCAAGATGAGATTAGTCAAATACTGGAATGGGGGCCTAAAGAGGTGTATAATCTTCATCCTTGGACACAATCAAAATTTGTTTAGACAAGAAGCTGAAAAACCTCAACAAGAACCTGAAAAAAACTCATATAAGTCAGACTTGCTTTTATGAGCGGCTGGACCAGAAGACCTTCACTAAACTAAGCTGAACTAAATTAATTCTATGACTTTATGATTATATGTTTGTTATTATTTGGGCCAGCTGTACTTCTCTCTGAACATTCCCAGCTTGCAAAAAGGGGGAAGGTAGCTATCCTAAGAAAAGTTATCTTTGTACTTTAAATTTTCCCTAAACAAACACACTTCTAACTATACCATGACAAATAAACTATGAAAACCCAAACTAACAATGTACAGCTTAAGCGYATTCATATCAAACATATGACATGACATTGATTGATATAATTTTATATCAAGCCTGTTATTGCTTAATTTTCCAAGATGCACGAGACACAAACTCTGACCAAATGGCTGGTTTGTATTCATAACTACCACTCAGGACACTGAAAAGTGACAAGATTCATATGAATTTCAGTCTGCCTGCAGCTTGGCATCACTATGTCTAGCAGCACAGGGAAGTGTTAGAGCTATCCATAGTAAAGGGCGACTCAAAAATAAAGCCAGAGAAAATATCCTTTTCTTTGGATGGAAGGTATCGGTATCTGATATCCCTCCCCAGGACTCCACAGGAGGTGAGACATGTCCACAGGACTTCTAGTATATTTTTCTTGTAAGTAGCTATAGTGAAAAAAAAAAAAAAAAAAACTGGCTTCACATGCTGGAATTTCCCCATGGAGTACAGACCTCCTCCATCCTCTAGTGCTGCTTGGGAACTGTATTTTTTGGTCACAGCTGTTGGGAAAAGTCACCTAGTGCTATGTGCACATGGATGAGAGGTGAGGGCTGTGAAATGGCAGTCATGYCAATCCCAAGCTTCAAAAGTCTTATATCACAAGGGACTCTGCTGAAGCTAAATCAGAGAAGATAAACCAGCATCTCCCATGCAAAAGGAAAGCAGCAAAACTGAACTGGAAAACAGGCCCTACACAAATGAGATGTGATGCATGGTTAAAATTCTAGTTTGAGGCTGAGATGTAGAATTGCTCAAAAGTTGGTAARACCTAAGGTTTGGCTTTGAGAACATGTTAATATAAGATGGTATTATGACAGAATGTTTACTTCTTGGGTTAACTGGCTCTTTAGTAAGTTTTTCAAGCAATTACMTAACAGAAACACATACAAGTAAAATCTGCCTACCGTAACAGAATGATATGCCATTTCCTGTATATCCTTGGGTGCAATAGCAGCCTTGTGTCCCACCCTGGACTTCACATCGGGCATCTTTATGGCACGTCATGTTGCAGCTTGCAGAAGTATAGCCATAATCCAGCAGACTGGATATAAGAACTGAAACAAAGCAAAACCATGCTTGTTTTTTCATTTAAAAACTGCATACCACATTCTAAAGTCAGATCCGGGCAAAAAGTATCCCAGAAATCAGCACAGAAATCAGGTAAATTTAACGTTGTTGTAGTATCAAACAACAGGTCAAGGGCCACAAGATACAAGGGCCACTTTACTGGTTAAGACTACTCAGGCTAGAAAGGGAGGCATCAGAGATGAAGAACTTGTGTCTATGTTCATGAAGTATAAATTGGTGGGCAATGTAGAAGTTACTCAGGGGTCTTGCGAAATCATTTTAAAGGCTTTCAAAGCTCTCCAGAACTTCCCAGTGAATAAAACAGAGACATTTATTTGCAGTCTGAATTATGTATGGAGTGTAATCCGAACAGCCCTACAAAAACCAATGGGCACATGTCAAATAAGGGTACACATATCAAGTGTACATATTTCAAATACTAGAGAGGTTTCCCTAGATGATTTTCTTAAAAAWTTTTTATAACCATTTCCATACATATGTCACTAACACATAGCCATGGTCTGAGAAGATTAGATTGACATAGCACAGCATTTATAGAATTAGGATGTAAAAACTTCTCCAAATTATTTAAAGGTAACCTCTTAAAGTACCATTTCCATGTTATGAAAGTAATTCCTTCTTTTTTCCAACCACTGAGTGATTCCCAAATGATATATGTGCTAGTTGTATAAATGCACAGAGATTTCAGTACAGAGAAGAAAGAAGTAATCTCTCCCTTTGAGAAAAATGCAAGCTCAATGAATAATTATACACACCCAAGAGCATGTTAGAAMCAAGGCAGCTAATTCAGAAGGGAGAGTAAGTTTCTAACTCTGTACTTTATAAATTGACGGCAAGACATAATGAAAGTTATAGGACATAAAGTTGCTTTTGCATGTTGTCTTCCCCTGCAGTTCTGCTGCTTCCTACCCAAATATTATTTGGGATATTTGATAGCCTACTATCACAATTACAGGTTTAATTGCTCCAGGATATCTCGTGGAGGTGTTGTTTTCTCAGACACATAAAAATTTCACGAAAAATTCAAAAGAGTAAAAATTAGACACAATTTTAAACAATTATATATAATCCAAATCAATTCAGGTCTCACCAAGCTACATTTTTTCCCTCTGTTTTCAAGAGGGGAGACCACCTTTTAGAGATCAAACCAGAAACTATAGTCATATTAGTGTCTATAACAAATCAAATTGAAAAATCTCTTAAGCAGAAAAAAAGAAAAAAAAAAAAAAAGTGGTTCAGGTTTTGCAGAACAGAACTCAATGAGATAGCAATTGGTATCAGTGGGATTTGGTTTTGAGATCACCTTAACGGTGGGATTTCCAAATCCAGTCGCCGCACCGATCACAACTCCAGGAAGCTTTCAGTCCCTCGTAGCCAGCAGTTTTCCACCCGTCTCCAATACGCTCACTTCCCTCCAGCCCCTGCACTGTGGTCCCCATCAGTCTTGGTGCCAGACCCCTTTCCCTTCCCCTTGCCGCCCGCTCCCTGGGGAAGGGGATTTCACCTACCTAGGAACGGGAGCAGTTTCATTGGTGATGCTGCTGCTGCGCGGTGCCTGGTGTGTCACAGGAAATATCTCCCTGCCTTGCAAAGCACAAGCATGTGCAAAGGACGCTCACAAGCCTATGAGGAAAGCGCAGCCTGGTGTAGCCACAGCCCTCACACAGCCCCTCGTCCCAAACTTCACGTTTCCCAAGGCTCCTGAGAGGCTCTGAGCAGAACAGGGAGGCTTAAGAGTGGGCTGAGGATCTGCTCCTCCAACAAGAAGGAAATGAATAAGAAAGGAATAAGTGAGGAATTAACAGGGAGGCACCAGGCTGGTCGTGTAAAGGCTTGTAAAATCAGAGTCTGGACCCTGGAAAATCAGGAGATTCAGGGGTGACAGGGCTAGAGAAGCATGAGTTAAAGGAGCTCTGTGGGAGGATGTCCGGAGGAGGATGATGATGGATGAAGGAGAACAGCGRTGTGGCTGGGGCAGCCAGCAGGCCTGGGGCATGAAGCAGAGCAGGGAGCGTCCGGCGGGTGGGAGGGAAAGGCTGGACGAAGATGTGAGCCTCAGGAGGGCAAAGGAGCAGCCTGGAGCGAGGGGATAGTGCAGCAAATCCGGAGGATGAGGAAGCAGTGAAAGAGGCTGGTAACCAGCTCAGGATTTACGAGTTTCGAGGCAACAGGCTACGTGCTTCCTTCCACCTTTTCCTGGTGAGCTCTGCATACGTGAGCTCCAAGACTCAGTTTTTTAGAGACAATCCTGGCTGGCTGCAGTAGTTCTTCCTACGGCGCTCTTGGTCTTTAAGAGAGCGCCTTACTGCAGCCAAGCTATAATGCCTAAAGGGTAACAGCCTGTGAGGAGGCACAGGAAATCCATTGGCCGCTGCTTTGTGAGGAAAACAAAGACATATAGATAGGGCAGAGAGAGGCAGGAAGGCCATTGTATGGCCGGGAATGTGTGGAGCAGGAGGAGCCTGAGTTTCTGTGAATTCACGTGACCAAAACTGGGCACTATGTAGTAAGACACAGTCAATATAGACACTTCGGCAAAGTGTTTGGCCCGCCTCTTGGTTAAACGTGAGAGCAACTGCATCCTTTCCAAGCATCCAATCAGTAGGACTTGAACATGCACTGACATGACCCACGAACACGGCAGTGTTTTTTCTAAACTTGTTATGAATGATGTGCATGCAATCATTTCCCATTGTGCTGGGGATGACGGCTCACATCCTGAAGTGTTATAAAACTGTTATATTGATCCCTTCATACAGGGACACAAACCAACAAGMATATTCCTAGATGACTGGAGAGTATCGCTAAACTACGTGAAATGGGCATTAGCATTTGGAATGTCACTGTGATTAAAATAGCGTACGTCTCAAGCTGAGTTTTTGCTACCGACCTGAAGAGAACACACCAGCTGTCTCTTAGAAAGTATCAATGAATGAAGGATATGGTGATTTTTTTTATGTTGTTATGAACATGTATACCATGATTTCACAGCTTCCTGGCAATGGCTCCTGACTGCAGCTGAACGTCTTAACCACTGCTCGGATTGGGGACGAGCCYGCAGAAACAGCACGTAGGTGTCTGGTTGGCACAAAGCACTTAGCTAGCCCCTTGGCAAAGAGAGAGGAAGCTGCAGTAACCGGATGTCAATTTTTGATGAACCACAGAATAATGAACAAAGAGTCCAGGTGTAAGAAAACTGTTTTTCCCTTGTTTGACTTTGTGAAGTGGGGGAGGGCTTGAAGGGGAAGAGAGGAAGACGTTAGTTTATTTTGTTAACTTTTCCTGTAATCTAACACACAGAGGCACAGAAAGTCAGACGAACTGTGAGGAGCTTTGATCTGCACGTCCTGTCCTTCATGTGGACATGCACTGAATCACCATGTGACTCTACTTGGAGATCCTGCCATTGAATTTCAGCTGATTAGTAGGGGCTTCATTTGGAACACTTCTAATGTTGCAATTATATTTCATTGCCCTGTTTCGTCTTGCTTCTCAAAATCAAGCAAAGACTAAGCAAGTGGAGACAGGAAGAAGTTGCAATCTAAACTTCCTTGATCTTGGAACTGCAGGTATGTTTTTGAAAAGTCTGCGGTGTTCATTGCAGTTTCACTTAGGCATCAGCTTTCTGCAAGGAGTATCCTGAGAGGCTAGTTGGAGAGCAGTTTCTTGAATCATACTACTGGTAAATTTATAGTAAAATCTTCAAAATCTTTTCTGATTCAAGGCACACAAAAGAAATCATGGATAATTCAAAATGAAAGAAAATCTCACTCTAAGAAGGAAAATACCTTCTCTCATTTTTGATGGAATATCATTTTTTTTTTCTTTTCTTTTTTTTTTTTTTTTTTTCTAGCAGACAAAAATACAAATCTACCAAGGGAACTATGCAACACAGGCCAGGATAGTCTTCAAATGGGATGGTATCACTAACAGGTATAGTGGACACCATGAAAGAAGGAGAACAGGTCTAATTGGTAAATGATTTAAGTTACAAATGGCAATGGGTARGCAGGGAGCACGTAAAGAAGAAAGGCAGAGAAGAATGGAAATGGAACAAGAAAGACAGAACAAGGAAGGTTAGGTCAAGAAGGAACTCTGGTGATAAGAGGAGCTTAGATCAGATTTAGAAGGCAATAGGGAGACAGTGAAGAAGGGGGATTTAGGAATATCTTAATGAGATCTCAATACCAGGAGCACTGGATTACTTTTGCATTAGAGTACTTTAAAAACTGGCTAATGGGAGTGTCAGTTAGAGGCTGAAGACAGCAAGGTCGCAGTAGTCATGGATGTGGAAAAGGATGGACTTGACAAAGATTATGTGGGGAGAATGAAGAGGAAAAGGAAGATTCTGAGACATTTTGGAGATTAGACCAGGCGGATTTACTGATAATATCTATTGGCCTATAGGGATAAGGAGTTACACAAGAAGAAACGAGCAGGTGAACACATGAAAGTACAGACACTTTCAAATTTGTGCTGTCAAAATTTTYAAAATATGCTGAGAAAAAACTATCAAGGTGTCATAAAAGTATAGTATTGATAAGTGCCTGTCTTTATGGACTGAGAGGAGGGACATGCACATTTATGAAAGCCTGGAGAATATCTCTAAACTAAATAAAACRGGTATGAGGATACAGAATTTTAGGACTGCAAAATCAATCTACCCTTGTTTGCCTTGAAATAAAGAAGCAATAAAAATAAATGGCTTGTGCAAACATTCCAAAAGATGGCCTTCCATTATTACATATGGGAACCAGAGCCCAAATTCTGCACTTAAAAGTGTTGTGTCTTTTGTGAATGGACCTATTTGTCTTTGCAAGACTTAAGGTATGAGGGCTTGAGCAAATGAATATGAACAGGTTAACATGTCTTTAAACCACACACTTTTTATTACTGATCACTATGATTACAATATCTTATGTCTGACTATAGAATTTTTAAGTTGGGTTTTTGCTGATGAACTGATAGGAAGATATCTGACTGCTCTTAGAAACTGCTGGATATTTTCTATGCCTTGCATCATACACTCACCAAAGCTTTAAAGGTAAAGGGGATGCTGATTATGCGGATAATGCTACAAAGTGATGAGGGAGGGAAGGTTCTTCCTAGAACTCAATCTTAGGTGGCTCTCAAAACACAAATATAAAGCAAGTGTTTTCATTTCAGAAACAGACTACAATACCAAAAAGAAAAAAAAAATACTCAACTGAGTATTTGTATTATTTCCTTCAAAAGAACAAAATGAATATAAGCACCACCCACTGTAATAAAGACAGATTTATTCCTAGGATGTGATCACAACTGAACTGTTAGCCAAATATCTACCAAAGAGTCTCACCACATTTATAGATGAATATCACGATATATCTATAAACAAGGGCAGTATATCAGGGTATGTATTTCTCAAATTAGAAGTTAAATATGCCAGGAGAAGCCCTGTATGAGCCAAAAGGTGCTATCTGATGATCTTTCAAATGTACTTGCTAAAAATTGCTGAGCCCTCTTTTACACCACTATGAATCATCCAGAGAGTGGGTAGTGGGACTATGTGTCAGATTGAGAGATCCCCATACTTCAAGTAAGGTTTTCTAGTCTCCTTCTTGTTCAGCTCTCTCTATATTCAGCTTTGTCAGGCTCCTGTATGTCAGCTATAAGCAGTATGCTTTGATATAATCTGCTTACATATACAGAACCAGCCAATGCATGCGCTCAAACATCTATGTATATCACATAAGCACATATATGTATCTATTACTGAACTGTGTAGATTAATATTTAGTGTCAATGATAAAAAGATGATCCTTATCATCTCCTCATTCAGCCTTTGCTTTCTTGAAAAATGACTGTTCACTTGAATCACCAAGTTTTCTGCCAGAAAGGAATGAAATGTGAAACAACCGAGGATGCATAAATACCTCGGAAAAAGATTTTTCTCTGATGCTTTTATATATATATATATATATATGAAATATCAAATTAATTCATCAGTTCCAAACCAAATCCTATTACTTCAAGAATTTAGATGGTCATTATGCTATTTCAGAAATGTCTCATTTGTCCTAGTCAGTGTAGTCACTAGTGCAATTATGCTTTTTTTTTCCTAGTCAATAAAATCTGTACACAATTGAAAAAGCAGTTAATGTCAGATCAAAATTATGTATTTCCATAGTGAGTTAAAATTATTTCCAAGTAAAAAATCCAGGAGAAGCATTTTCAGTCTAGTCTATCATAGAACAACCTACCACAAACTATTGTGAGCATCTGTTTTGTAACGGCCTCACCTCACCTTCCTATCTGAGTTCCTCACAAAGCCTTACCATTTTATGTGCAAACATCATATGCCATCTGAGGCTGAATATACCTCTTGGGATGATGTAACTCTAGGCAATTCTGAAGCAATAAACACACAAACACRYATAAACATATGCATGCACACATCCTACTAAATCCGTGTAGCGAGGTCCATCTGAAGGAGATTGCGCATTCCATTTTAGGAACCCAGTATCTTTCTGCTCTTTGCTTTACCTTGGGTGAAGTCATGGAATGAAGGAATTTAAAGAGAATGTAATGTTTGAGAAGGTCAGATTAACAGCCTTGAAACTGGGCTGTGCTTCTGCATCTTTTCTAATACAGAAAAGAGGTACAGGTTGGGTAAAAAGATCCTCATAGCTAAATGTCATTATGGAAAAAAGTAACTGGTTTCTACRTCTCTTTATGATCTCCTAGAACTGGTCATAACAATATTCACATCTTTTGAGAAGGGGTAGAGTGAACACCATGAATAATTAGAGCAATGAACTGTGAGATAACCAGTTGCTATTAATTCAGACTCATTCTAAATCAGAGTGGTAGAGGTTAGGGGCTCTTACAGTGAGGTGCTAATATATTACCCATTGGATACCCTAACTCAGGTATCACAGATAACTGCAAGAATGTCATAGTTATTTTTTTATTATTCTTACATGTGATTAAAAACACTTCCTGTTTTTCTAACATACTGTTTTAGATATGAAGTAGTGACAATCACTGTTTTTACCTGCCGGAGTCTTTGACCTCACAATACCCC